TCTTATTTCAGTAAACTATAACTTAGCACATTTTTATGTATTACTCTTTCCAGTTTCTAGTTGTTGGAGTGATTATTGTGAAGGTTTTCTCTGATGGAGGGGGATGAATGATCTGAGGACGACTGCATTTCTTCATTTTTCCACATTTCATACATCTGAACTCATGTGACTGTGGACCAGGCGTCAGGGCTTGGTCTCACCCTGCAGACGTCGGTACTCACAGTGAGGACTCTCCTTGCCGCCGGCCTTCAGCAGCAGCTTGGCGATGGGCGTGTTGTTGGTCATGATGGCGATGTCGAGCGGCGTCAAGCCCTGGCTGTTGGGAGTGTTCAGGTCCAGCTCCTCGGCCGAAAACTGGTAGAGGAGGATCTGAACGGCGTCCAGGTCCTGCTGCTCCACCGCCTCGAAGATGCAGTCGCTGCCCTGCATCGTCTGCAAGGAGAGGAAACGTCAGCGACGCCATACACACATCTGGACACGGGAAGCGAGTCGCTGGTTCGGTTCTGAGCTCGTTGACGCAGCTTTTCACATGTTCACAGAAAAGAATCACAGAATATTAATCTGGAAGATCTTGAGCAGAACCAAGACAGACTGAATGGATTTGTGTGTTCTGGTTTAAAGCTCCGTTCAGAAGCAACGAACACTACGAGGCAAAAAGCAAACTCTACTGATGTGTTCTAAAAACAGAAATCCAGACACGGAGGCTCAGCCTGAGACAGAAAAACGCAGAAACAACTCCAAGAAACTGGAACGAAACTGGACGATGAGACGGCGAAGCAGATGTTAAGAGAGGAGGGAAACCACACGAAGGGTTAAAACCACTGGATCTGTTCAGCAGCTTCATCAGCTTCAAGTTAATCACATGAACATCTGTGCTGCTTGTTGGTAGAATGGCTCGGAGCAGAAGAAGAAGGACGACAGATCCACCTGGACAGCTTCATCCAGACCGCATGGAGCAGATCTGGTGCTGGCTGCAGACTGGTTTGGGATTGGTTTAGAACTGGTTTTAGAACAGTTTGGGATTGGTTTAGAACTGGTTTTAGAACGGTTTTGGATTGGTTTAGAACTGGTTTTAGAACGGTTTTGGATTAGACTTGAACTGGTTTTAGACTCGATTTTAAACTTGGACTTGGACTGGAGTCTGGAGTTGGTTCTGGACTGGCTTCAGACTAGACTTGGATTGGTTTTGGAGGTTGTTTTGAACTGGTTTAGACTGGCTCTGGACTGGATTTGGAGCCGATTGTAGACTTTATTGGGTTGGTTTGGGATCTGGGTTTGGGTTTGACCCTGGACCAGTTTTAGACTGGTTCTGAAGTGGTCTGATTTTAGAGTTGGTTACTGACTGGACTTTGGAGCTGGTTCTGGACTGGCTGAAGACTGGATTCAGAGATTTTTGGAGCTGGCTTTTGACTGGTTTTAGACTTGACTTCAGACTGGATTTAGACTGGTTTCTAACTTTGAACCAGATGTGGAGTTCAGACCGTCTGCTGCAGCACTCCTGGTTCTTCTTGTTGCTGAAGCTTGGACCTGTGGTTCTGCTGCAGGATGAGTTTGGGTCGATCAGAGAAGAAGGTAAACATCTACAACTTCAGCAGAGTTCTGTTCAGACTGTTTGTCTTTTGATTTCATGCGGCCGCTGACTGGAGGTCAGGTCTTCAGGGTGAGAAGAGCTTCATCATGAATGCAGGAGATAAAATCCATCTTCTACAGGAAATGATCCGAGTACGACCTCCTGGTAACCATGGGAACAGGCTGCAGGACTTTCTCAGATCAATCAGAAACAAAACAGATAAAACAACGTGCGTTTAGTGTATTTTATTAATAAACGACTCATTTCTTCTGCAATATTTAGGTTTAAGATTTACGTTTTTCTCAGGATTCTGAACCAAAACCTCCTGAGAAGCAGCTGAGGAGGTTCTTCAAGAGGAAACAAGCTTTCACTTTGATTTTTAGGAACATGTCTGTTTAAAAGAGCTGAACTAATAAAGTTTTGTTCAAGCTGACAGTCGATGAAGCTGAAACTGGAGGCTGGATGTTTCTACACTGAGCTCTGCTGATCGAGCTCTGCTAGAGTTCATCTAATCCAGGATTCAGAGCCACAAAAGGTACATTTGGAGCTGGTGTCACACTGGATTCAGCCTGGTTTGGGGCAGATTTTAGACTGAATCTAAACTAATTTTGGAGCTAGTTTTAGACTGGTTATGAGGATGGGTTTAAACTGGATTTAGACTGGTTATGAGGATGGGTTTAAACTGGATTTAGACTGGTTATGAAGATGGGTTTAAACTGGATTTGGGCTGGTTTTGAAACTGGTTTGGAACAGGGTTTGGAGCTGTTTTTGGAGTGAATTTGACCGGCGTTAGACTGGTTTTACTGGTTTTGGAGCTTATTCAGGAGCTGATTTTGGAGCTGGGTTTGGACTGGATTTGGACTGGTTTCAAACTGGTTTTAGACTGGTTTTGGAGCTGGGTTTACACTGGGTTTAGAATAGTTCTGTAATTACATTTTGACGGGTTTTAGACGTTTTTTGAAGACTGGTTTTTGAGGCGGTTCTGGAGCTGGTTTCAGATGGATCTCAGAACTGGTTCTGTAACTGGTTTTGGGCTCAGGTTGGGCTGGATTAGGACCAGATTAGAGGTGAGTTTAAACTGGACTTGGACTGGTTTTAAACTGGATTCTAACTGGTTTTGGACCAAATGCCGCGGGTCTCCTGACTCTGGTTGGATGTTTGGATCTTGATTCTGCTGCAGGAGGAACCTCGACAGAGAATCAGAACATTTTCAGGTTCTAACATTTGAGCCGAACATCGATCTGCTGTCGGCTCCGTTCTTTGTTTTCTCCTCGTCGCTTCCTTTCATGTTGTGGCGCCTCTTTAAATGTCAGCAGGCTGCTTTCAACGCACAATCACACACACACACACACA